TATAAGAAATCATTTATTTGCCATGTTTATGATATTTAAAGAAATGTGTCACCATGCCCCAGTCAGTGAAAGTGTGTTCCCCACCCCTAGACCCCAGAGGGTTAAAGGCAACTTATTTTTTTGTTGATTGTTACACTAATACTCAAAAGATTTGAGTATTTTCATTTTTTTGTAAACTACACATTATATTTTGTGGTGGATTTTACAGACTTTTTATTATACAGACTTTTAATCCAAAGAACAGAGGGAGAATTAAATTTTTTTAAATTTATTTGACTTTAAGACTAAATACTTTACTAAATAAAGTTATTGCACTAAAATTAACCTGTGTAATATCTTTTTTAAGTTTTTACAGAATATTTTAAGGTAACCTGTTATGTTTATGCTGTCAAATGATAAACAAGCATTTTTTCTGTATTTTTTTATATCGTCAAATTTATCGTTATCGTCAGAATACACTAAATTATCGTGATATTATGCTTGGGCCATATCGCCCACCCCTATTACATGGTCTGTAATAGATCATGTAAGATGCCCAGTTCACTGTCCCGTCTGCTGGCAGTACCCAGCACTTTTCTGTTACACAATCTGTAATAGATCATGTAAGTGTCGGGGTGAGTGCCCGCTAAATCAGGGGTTCTTGAACTCTGTCCCACGGTCCCAGAGCCCTGCCCAGGGGAAGTTGCTACCGCTGCTGTGCTTCCAAAGCCTGGCCCAGACAGGTCCACTGCCCACTCATAGTCTCCAAAGTCCAGCCCAGACAGGGTCGCTTTGGCTCTGCCCGAGCCTCCCGAGTCCAGCTCACAGGGGCCCACTCATTCTGACTTTGCCCCTACAGTGCCATCCAAGCCTGTCCTGGTCCCTGCAGCACTGCCTGAGGTCCACCTAACCTTGGGGGGATGGACCTGGCGGTTACCCCTCCAGAGGACTTAGAATGGGACCCCTTGGACTTGGCCCTGAGTCCCACATTTCGGGCTCCTGACTCTGCCCAAGGGTGGAGGTCCAGCAGAAGGCCAGGCTGATTCTCTGTCTCCTGCAGGGGGGGACAGGGACATACCAGTCATGCCAGGTGTCCAGAACCAGTTCCATACCTTTTGCTTTCAAACCTGCTGCCCCCTCCATCTCCTTTTGTGCCCTTCCCTGTTGGTTCCCCTAACCTGTCATATTTCCTGTCTCATGTCCCCTTGTCTTGTCCCTCTGTTTCCCAGTTGAGCTCCTTTTGCTCCCTACCCTTCTGCTTCCCCTGTTCTGTCCTGGTCCCTGCCTTGTGTCCCTCCTTCTGTCCCCAATCCATGTATTCCTGGTCCCCAAGTTTTACCCTCTGCTGTGTTCCCTTGTCTAGTGTCCCGGTCACAGCTCCTGGTGTTTGCCCTGTCTGTCTTTGAGATGGAGTTCTTGGCTCTGTCTGTCCAGTTCTGTGTGGTTTGGTCTTGTCCTCCTGGTCTCTGTGGCTCTAGCATTGCCGTCGTGCACCCAGTGTTTGCACATATGGTGGGGGGTAATGTCAGGGTCAGCACCTGTCCTACCCTACCCTTTGTGTTTCCGCCCTGTTTAGCCAGCAGGTGTTGTTGGTCATCCTGTCTCTTGTCCTTTAACCCAGTGTGCTCTCCATCATCCCCAGCCTGCTGCATGGCTCAATGGACTGAGTGTGTGGCTCTGAGACTAAGAACTTGCCAGTTGTGGATTTGAGGCTGGCTTGGAACCAGCCTCAGCTGTTTTGTTGAATTATTGGTTTTTGTTGTTCCTCCAATAAAGCCCTCTGTTGTCTTAGAGCAGCAAGTGTATGCGCAAGCAGACAGAGTGTGGCTTTGAGGCTAGGAATCTCTGCCAACAACTGGAAGGTTGCTGGTTAAAATCCCGTGAATGTCTGGAGTGATCCTACTCTGCTGGGCCCTTGAGCAAGGCCCTTAACCTGCAATTGCTTCATCCTGGGTATGATGTTAATCTACATCCAGTCGTATAAGGAGGTCCTCCAACTTACAGGGAAAAACTTGTGGGTTGCTGGCAGGATTGGCACTCCAGCCACCAGGAAAAAACTTTGCACTGGTACATTCAGACTAGTGTGGTGCTGAGGTATCACCCGCCAAATGGCTGCACTCAGGTTCTCATCCCTGCGGTGGTTGTCATGTGGTGGGTGCGCAATGCACTGTAATCAGTGCATGCTCCTAGTCTTACCTATGCCAGAGCATGACAAAATAACTCACTCCAAGAGCCAATGCAGTATTTTGCCAGACATGATCATATATGCTGTATTACCCAGCCAGTTCGGATGAATGACTGGCCCTGACATGACCGACCTACCGGCAAAATCCCCAAACTTCCCCATGACCAGTCCACGCCTGCATACCTACAGCTGCTTTTTGATGAGGACTTAAAACACTGCATGACTATCAAAATGTATAACTGTCGGTTAAGTACAACCACATGGTGTCTGGGTTGTCTCCAGTCCAGCGATTTTACAGCCGACCATGGATATATCTGCTAAGAAACCAATGTCTCCATGTACCTGGATGACATCTCAATGACTGGCAGGTCAGAGGCAGAGCACCGGAAGAATCTGGATTAAATACTAAAACAGATGTCAGAAGCTGGGTTACGTCTTAAGCGTGGCGGGTGTGTTGTTCTCCCATCTCCCAGTGTCACTTACCTTGGTCATAAGATTGCGGCTGGGGGCTTGTCACCAGCAGAAGAAAATGCGAGAGCAATTAAGGAAGCCCCCAGTCCAGAGAAGGTGGCTGAGCTCTGCTCTTTCCTAGGCTTAGTAAATCATTACAGCAAATTCTAACCTGGTTTAACGCCTTTCTACCAGTTACAGCACAAAGAGAGCCTGGAGGTGGCGGGCAGCTCAAGAGAAGCTTTCCAGCAGAAGAAGAAGCTGTTACACTCAGCACCACTGCTGGTACATTTTGAGATTGATATTAAGATTAACATTACGATAATCTTTATTGTCATTGTCACTTGACAACGAAATTGCGAAAGTGCAGGCGACTCAATGTACGGAAGAGGATTAGGGCCACCATGAAAATATTATTTGAATTCTGACACAAAAATCTTGGTGTACTTTGTAAATATGTCAGAATTATGTGAAGTTTGTAATTTGGCATCAAAGAATAGACATCGCAAAATGCAGTTTGGAACACTTGTAGAAACATTATAAAAGTACATAGAAAGCAATGGTGCGAGTTTGTTTTGAACCCAGATATCTGATCACCAAAGTCTTGGCTACATGAAGATGACTAAATGATGTAGTTGCAACATTCAGCTGGATAAATAAATAAGAAAAAGCTAACTCGTGTCACTATTTCTGGCAGGTAAAACAAAGTAAGGTGACATGGTTCACTTTTTTGCCTATTTAACCTAATTTTAAAAACTTTAATACCTGTTTTGAAAACATTTTGAAAAGAAGACAGTTTACGGATTTAGCCAGTGTTTTTTCATGTTTCTACAATAAGATTTCAGTGAGTTATGAACTGAAATACATGAGAAAGATACACGGCATCGCCGACGATGCCGTCGACTCCAGAGGTACAGTAGTTGGAAGTTATACCTTTTCACGGTATTCTTCATACATGTCTGGGAGTGCCGTCTTGGAAAAATATTTCCTTTTTGGGACGGCGTATCGTGGGTCTAGCTTCTTAAAGTGCATGAAGCCTTCTTTCCCCACCGTTTGGATTGGCATCATACAGTATCTTTCGCCAAACAAATGGTGACAGCATGGGTAATATCTTTCCAGTGTTTCTGTCATACGGAGTACAACTGGCGAGAGACTCGGTGATGTCATACTGAAACAGCTTACTTTGTTTTGGTTTCGTAGCGTTACTGTAGCTCCTGAGCTTTCCTCCCGGGCTTTCAGACAATTCTGGTACAGACTCAGGTGCTAATCCTTGAGATGGTGAAATAAGTTAGAGGTATTTCCCCCTTTCAATTTTACAGGCTTCTTGCACTCCTTGCATATTACCATGGAATGTTCCGTATCTGC